TAGCAAAGTACTTCATATTCTGAATAGTTTGTTCGTAAGATGTTTTCATGCAGCCAATGCAATGAAGAGTTCTTGGATACTGCAGAAAATGCCTATCAGTATGATACCCAGGTTTTTGACGAAGTCTGTCATTGAGGTTGCGTTGAATAAATGCTTTTATTATTATTTTGATTATATTTTTAATCATAATGCCCCTGTACGTGTGCTTGCGTTCAGTGCTAACCAGAACCTTGTGTTGAAGGCAAACGGCAATAAGTGTCACAGGTAAAATTAGACTGTTTACGGCGTCTGTGTACTTAATGTCTTTTATTACTGTTAAGTGTGGCTGTAGATATGAATATCCAAATATAGTTGATTATCGTTCCCTTATGCCCTGTGTGTATACTGTTAACGGTTGTAAGAAGTTTGACTTATGCGCTGGTGTATGCTAATACGCTGGTTTTATTTCTTGCGCCGTTTTTCCGGTTCTTGGCACTGTTTAGGGGTCCATTTGAACAGGCAACATATAAACGACATTTGAGCTTCAGTGATGTGTCGATGTATCTGGCGGCATTTTTTTGTAATGCCCTCTTCCAGCCTATCAAATTGCAGAGTGAAACAGTTTGCTACATGTTGTACAGTTGTACGATTGAAGGGTAGTACTCCTCTTGCCCCATTAGCTTACTAGAAATAAACATTTCTGTGTAAAAATAAAGATTTTGAAATAATCGTTTCGTTTTCACTTAAGCCTTCAAGTCTCTAAAATTTCAAATTCATAACCAAAGCGGGAGGTTGGCTTCCTTGATTTAATGCTAGTTCTACGCAAGACTTTAGAATTTATGACGTATCTGTATTTGGAAGTCTTCACATAATATCTAAAAATCGGAACGAAGTCAAATACTAGCCATGATACGCAAACGATGTACTTATTGCGAAATCTTCAGCAGAAACGCAGTGACTATAGAAATTAAAATCTGAAGCAAAAATTTTGTTCATAAATGCAGCCTCGTAAAGTCCAATAACGTGATTATGATATCTCAACATGAATTATGCCGGATGGATTTTGATTGTTACAATTCATCTCCTTTTTGTACATTGATTCCATATTAGGCCAGAACGGTGACTGTTGAACAAAGATTTGTCGACGATTACAAAACTCGAGCTTTCTTTGCAAAACACTATTATATGGTATAGCCACCGTATTAGAAACTTCCTCAAGCTGAAACGTCATATCACTGATATGATTAATTACAAGTTGTGAGTGCAAATGCTGAAGCATAAGCGGCCGTCTATATCGGCTTATCCCGGAACTAGAAGTAAAGTCGATTTGAAAATGCAAAAGTTGTATCGCTTCACTGGCCTTTTACTTCATGACCCTCAGAGGCAGGATAGCAAACACGTTTTATTTACATAACGTCGGTTCGCAACGTTTAAGGAGATGATAATGCATATTCATTATGATAGATATTTGCCTGTTCCGTATTTTTGATCACAAAAGTATAACGTGCTGTTGGTAACAACTCAGACGCATTAACTTCTTCACCAAAGCGGAGTACATATCATTTTAAGCGTTCGAAATGTAGTACAGACATCTTTGACAAATCTGCCAGTGCATTGTAAGATCGCTTAACACGGAGCTCGCGATCTTTTCACAGGCTGTTATGTCTCGACAGCTTCATGAAAATATGGTACTACAATTGTTGATTCTATGGTCTAGACACGGAAGAAGGCCAAGAAGATGATAAGCGGGTGACAGGAAAGAATTAACCTAGTGGATCGCACAGGCCGGAATACGATTTCAAAGTGTCATCCCACATGTGTACTGAAAACAGTATGAAGCCATTGAATGAGATGGACCGTGATCCGAAAAGAAAAGCGGTCAACAATGATGAAGATGAATGAAATAAAATAGGTTTGCTCTATCCTCCATCAGTGCAGTCGCTCATTAAGTGGATAGCTTAGTAATGACCTGCTAGAGATTCAGGCAGTGCCCTGTCATGGTGAAGTCGTGCTACAATTTGCTTGAATACTGGCCATAATGTTCAGGAGCATCTTGCACGATTTTTTTGCCATAACTCATGTGTTTTTCGGAGTTGATGCGGTAGATAAATAGTTAATTTTACGCTGAAAGTCATAGTCAGTGCGCATGTAGGCTGTATTTCATGTGCATATGTCATACGGACTTGTGTATAGTATCTATGAGATTCTTCTTGTAGCCTGTTTTATGGCTTCTTTGGTAAACGTTTTGCGCATAATTGAAAATTTGATCAACCTTTCTCCTAGCGGTTATTTCAGCGCATTAAGAATATTTTTCACCTTGTTGCTTTAGGTAACATTGTACTTTATTAAAGCTGTACTTCTGCAATGCTGTTATATTTTTATGCTAGGTTTACTACGCATTTGATGAAAAGAATTCAGAAGGGCTCAGTTCGTGGCATATCCATAAAATTACAAGAAGAAGAAAGAGAACGACGTGACAATTACGTTCCAGCGGTAATGTTTATTAATGTTCGGACTCATACAAATGATAATTTTTCTCGTTAGGTGTCGAGCCTCTCCGGCCCTTCAGTAAAAGTTGACCCTGAAACTAAGAAAATGTTGGAGAAACTGGTTAGCCTGTTTTGTTAATTTTTAATAGTCGCTTATCTTATAACCCTAGTGCAAGACTTTTTTATTGATGTTGATTAGGCAAATGAAAGGTGACGTTATTAGATGGAGTTAAACCGCTTTTTTCTGTTAAGTATGAAAATAAGAATTCTGAACAAAGGCTCTACTTTATTAAGGATAAGATTATTTAGTTTTTCATCTTTATCACACTGTCTTGTATGAAAGTTGTTTTTTTATTGCTGGCTCGACGAAACAGCATTGAAGTTATGAATGAAATTGCCAATTTCTTTTAACACTCAGTTGGGTCGTTTACATATGCATATTTTGCTCTTGAAACTTCAGTGAAACGTATAAAGATTGACTACTGTTTATCTTACAAAATTTTGTTGAAACCGAACAGGGCTGTAACGATCGAGCAATTTTAATCCCAAGTGGTATTGAAGTAAGCTACTCGAAGTGTTTGTTGAGCTGTCCAAATATTTGGAGTTTTCAGTCCTAAGTTGCAAAAGCGACCTTGTCTAGAGGCTTTCAATGGTCGCGTTTCTTTGCCTATTAGCTCAGCTATACGGCCGGGCATTTCGACGCAGCACAGTGCCAGGCGTTCGATATATTCGTCAGATTCGGTCATTCAGCCTCATGTATGTCTTATCCACCTACCAGGTTGGCTTGTAAAGCTAGTCCTTCTGCAACTCTTCTGACCAAGCTCCTAAGAAACTTGTAATTTGGTAAAAAGCGTGCTTCACATGCAAGAGTATCTCTGAATGCGTTGTTCTGAGCATTGCCATTACTCGTCTCAGTCGAAATTAAAACAGTATTCGTCCATTGTATGTTGCTCCAGTGTATGCTAACGTCAGAAAGCGGTTAAGTGGCAGAGGTTGTGAATCAGCTCTCGTCAGCTGTTAATGATTGTAAAATTCTAAGAGGTTTTCACAAATAAAGTTCTGTATGTGACCATTGCTATATCTTAAAATAGTTTGGAACGCCGTAATGTATTTGAAAGTATAATTTAACCGAAGCAGGCTGCACGTAGTTGTGGCACTATCTTTCTTTTTCTGGTATTGATGAGTGATCACGTATTTCGATGAATCTGGTAATGAATAGGAGTACTGGTTTCTGAAACCTCATCATTGATGAGAAAGCCATTTCTTTAGCCAGTAAAGACGAATCGGCATGCACATCAGGAAGATAGGGCTTGCATGGTGACGTGTTAAGGGTTCAGAAACAAGAAAGCGTCACAGCATAAAATCATGTTTGGCGCGATGTTGATTTGTACTTCTCCTTAATACTTATATCCTGAATGTGCGCGATTCATTAGTTTCTACGGTGCATTGTGGATTTGCGTAACTCACCAAATTAAGATAGCGCATGATAGACATCTTCAGTTTATATAGTGTCTTGGAGAAATTCATATTTAAAGGTTGCAAAAAAATATTACTGCCGCTTTCCTGTGATTGACCACTTTTCTTGTGTAAAGAAGCAAATTGTTATTGTTTCCTATTAATTTTTCTAGACAAAATTTGTAAACGTTATATTTGTTTCTCAAATGGTTACTGACCGAAGCCTTAGCTCATGTCGAGATCTTTGATATTTTTCTTGCACTTTTAGCATGAAACTCTTAGCATTTAAGCAATATAAATTTGTGGATTTGCCAAACTACTTAGCTGCTTGTGGCATTACAGAATTTGCCAAACTCTTTGCAAATCATTTCAAATGGATTGTTTTGTATAACTTCTGATGTAAGTGTTATATT